TGAAAACAGAATTTTGGATTTTCAAAGTAAGTAATCTTCTGCTTTTTTTGCATTTCTATACATTTCTTCATTATTTTTTTCCTATATTTCCAGTTCTTTCTTCTTACTTTTGCCTACATTTTCGATCATTTCTATCATCTTCTCAAATGTATTATCATTGTTATTGTTATTGTTATTGTTATTGTTATTGTTATTGTAATTGTTATTGTTATTATTATTATTATTAGTATTATTATTAGTGTGTGGAACTAAGTTATTTTTATTTTTTTTTATAGATCTTTCAGCAATCTACAAGGTAAAAAACTTTCCATTTTCTCTACATTTCTTCATTGTTTTTGCCTATATTTTGGTCCTTTCCATTGAGTTCTCCTTAATTTCTATGTGGAATTGCTTTTTATTTTTTTAGAATATTATGTCAAATTGAGTTTTTTTGTTTTTGTTTTTGTAGATCTTTGAGTGATATAAAGAAGCCCTACCACTATTTGTTGATTGATGCTTTGTAAATTAAGTTGTTCGAGATGTTTTCAACATATCTATTGTGAAAATAGATTTTTGGATAATATTTACAATATTGTTGAATTTTTTTATCTATTCTCCGTTATTTCTTTCGATGTGTCTCATTTTGTAGATAAATCTCTTATCTCTTGAAACCACAGTTATATTTCTTGATTGGAGCTCTACAAAATATCATTTTAGTTCTTATTTCATTGAATGCGAAGGCACCTCTTTTTGGGAAATAATTGAAACAAATTCCAATAAATAAAGAAAATTATAGTATTACTATTTATTAGGCAATTAAAAACAATTATATTCTTGAGTTAGTACTATATATTAAATATTTGCATTAACTAGGATAACATTTGTTTTAATGCAGATAATAAAGGTGCTTTTGCAAATTTCTTCGTATACATTTTGCCTTGATTAGGGATTTTTCAAACTATTCGAATAAGCTATGATTTTTAGTAATTACTAAAATATATGTTCCTGAGTTATTACTATATATATTAAATACTTTCATTATTTCGTATAACATTTGTATGTGTGACTTTGAGATTATTACATATTACATACTTTTATCTATTATTAATTATATATTACACATTACATAATGGTAAATATCTTCTTTTTTGTAAGAAAAATATATTTAAAAATAATATAATAATTTTATTTTTATTTTTATTTATTTTCTATTTCTTTTACAACTTCTGACATCCACAACAAAATTGGAAAAAAGGTTGCAGACACCACAATACTATTTTTATTTTTTCTTATTTCTTTCATTTTTTAAATTTTCAAATTGACCTTTTCTTAAGAACATAGTTAATACTATTGAATAGGAATTATATTTGATAACATAAATACAATTTAGCAGTATGAAATATAATATTTAACAATAATTATTTAATAGGCAATAGAATACGATATATAGAATAATTAACAAACAATTTATTCTATTTAATATTTAATAAGAATTATATTTCACAACATAATTAGTTAAATACTATTAATACCATAAGTATAAGGAATAAAATAAAGAATTTTTTTTTTTAAATTCGGTATTGTCCAAGGTTTTTTAAGTACGCCTTAATAGCCTATTACAATGGGTATTGGTAGTAGCAAGACAATATGTCTTAAAGAAGTATTATATTTGATATTGGCATTAGAAAACCCCTATATTAATTTTTTCTCTCATTTTTATTTATATAACTTTTATTTACGCAAATTGAATTATTTTAATCATTTTTGTTTAATTTGTGCCAAATGAATATGTCTTAATGAAATATTTTCAAAATAATGTATCAAATTTATAATTATTTGATACAATATTCAATTTTAAAGATAAATTCCTTCATTTAAAAAAAAAATTAATCTCCCTGAAATCTTATTTTATCACAAATAGTGTCCGACATATTTATTTATGTCATGGTTTGAAAAAAATATAATTATGTAATAAAATTATTCAATTATAAAGATAAATTCAATAATATCTAAAAGTATATTTTTTATTCAAAATATGTTTTAATGATAAATATTTTTCAATAATTAATATTAAATATCATGTACAACACACATACATATTACTAGTATATAAGCATACCAAAGCTAATGTCATTTAGCTCATGGTATGGTATAGCATGGTAATTAAACACAGCTATTAGGCGCAAAATTAGATTTGATCCACATCCATACTTCCCATTTGCATTGTGTGCGTTCGTGGGTGGACAAAAGCATTCCCAATAATTTGTCAGCCTCCTAGAAACCTCTTAATATGTTTCTGTCAAGGCTCTTTCCTATAACACTTATTTTAATAATAAATTTCAACCATTTACATGACCTGTATGACCTTTGTACTATATAAAGGAAAAAGTTTATATTAGGTTGTAACATTAAAATGTAGAATGAAAAGTGCACCTCAAAAATCCATCATAAAAGGTTTTTTGGATGTTGGAAAACTATCTAATGCATCATTTCGACATCGAGATGTATGAATATGAAAAGAAAAAAAGATTTCGAGTATGTGAAATAGAGTATCTTGCAACACATTATTTGGACTGTCCATTTTCAAGTTTCATGTGTTTATAGATCTACTAGATTTGAACCATTTTTAGAGTTTAAAATTTTAGGTTCTCAAGTCATCTTAAGATTTTTTTATGTCAAAATTACATTTATGATAAAATTTTGGAGAAAGGTTTCTATATTTCCCCTACAGCATAGAAGATCTGTACTTCTCCTACCATCCAGCCGTCCAATTTTGATCAAGAGAGCCACTCACCATTTGATCTTCAATCCGACGTCTCAAAATATTTTATTTTTAGTTTTTTATACAAATTGTATGAGTATGAAATTTGGTACATCTCATCTTCTCATTGAGGCGCACTTATAAAAACATTGAAAATAATTTTTTGATAAAATATAAAGACCCATTTACGTTTTTGGAGACAAAGCTTGCGTGCAACACAGACGCTGCTTCTCTCAACGCATGTGGAAAGCTTCTTCGTCAAATTGGATACAAGGCCTGCGTGCCCGTGAATTCATGTGAGTATTTCCGATCAATGACCCTCTTTTGGCCGGGTTTAAACCCTCTTAAAATAGGCTGTATCCAACTCAGACGTGAAATTTTTGAGGACGTGTCGTTCTCAACTTATCTTTCGTCAGTGGCAGCCCACCTGCTGTATGAACGTGGTGCAAGAGGCTTCTAATACAATAAAATTTATATTTAGACACGGTTTTTATGAGTCCATATAGACGTGAATCACCAATTAAAAATCTATTTTTATGATGGATTTTTTGACCTAATTTTTAAGGACATTTCTAACATGGAGATCATAAATATGAATAAATAAATAAAGTTTTGAAAAATTAAAATAATAATTCTATTAAAAAAAACATTTGGATTTTAGTTTCAATTATTTTTAGATGGACCACCTATTTGTATCCATCTTTAAGATGGATACTTTATACCTCGGGGACCGCAAATGTAGAAATGTGATCCCCGCTACATGAAACAATTTTCTTTTATATTTTAATGTGTGTAATGTAGATAAAAATGAGAAAAAATTCAGAATTGTAATTTTATTATTTTTTGAATTCATCATTTTAGGCGTGAGTTTAGGAAAGGTAAATCTTGATATGAGTTAGTTTCTTTTAGCTTATGTTAGATTTAGTGAGAGATTTAAAGGGATATGAGAACGGTAAGGGAGAGACATGGAGGGTCCTATAAGTGAGAGAAAATAAGGAAAAAGAGATTAAGAGAAAATAAGGAGAAAAGATTTACGTAAGAGAGAGAGTTTTATTTATATTCTAATTTTTTTATTTGTTTATTTTTTCTTAAAGTGTATTTAAAAGGAGATTTCCTTTCATTGTGATAAGAGAATAAAATTAAGTAAAATTGTTTTTGTGAAAATATCGTTTTTTGAGATAGATTCTCTCGCTTTAAGAGATGGTATATTCTCTCGACCCTTTTTTTTTTTGTATTTTTATTCTTCCTGTTACTATTTCTCTCAGCATCAGTGTGGACCTAAACCAATCCAAAGGCACTTTCAAATATTTTCGTAAGATGCATTATTGGCATCGAAAATTATTATGATAGTTCCTTTGAAAGCTGTTTATTTGTTCGCAGCAATTAGGATTAGGAAGAGAGTAACATGGATGAAAATTAAAAGGGGAAACGCGACACGAGCAGTGACTCCCGTTTGATTTCTTTATTTTCATTATTTTATAATAAAAATAGCATACCAGAGACCACTGGTTGCATGGTAGAAGATACGCCCTGGGAACATATATACCATCATATCCCAATGACGTGCATTACAGATTAGTGAAATCGACTGACATCAAAGACAAATAGAGAGTATCATACACCAATAGTTTATGATGCACTCTCCCTATTCGAATATGGCAATGTATAAAATGAGACCATTTACTTCTAATAAAAGGATGTAACAATCATCATTGGTCGCCAAATTTGAAATTGGGTGGTTGAAGATGCGTAATTATTTGGGCTTGAGAACAAATTCCAAAACAAAATTTCTCGAATGCTGTGATACACTTTCATCTATTGAATTTCACATCCAATAGTCAAAAGTGATTGTGAACTCCTTGTATATGAAATAAATTGTATCATAGTAGAATATTTGAGGGATTTAGAAAATATTTAGGGCTCGAACCAGCTTAACTACTAACTGGATCCTAGACATTTGTGTATTGACTTTTTTCCTCTGAAAATGCAGATAGTTTTTTTTTATCATCGTTATACCAACAAATCAGAGGATACCTCCCTTGAATGTGAAGCATTTGATTAGATTTAATGGGCTCCATTTGAGTTAAATGCCAACCAACTTGAGGACAAAGTAACTGTTTCTAGAAAGTTGGCACTTTCTAAGACTTGGAAATAACACGTTTAATCATTTTTTATGCATTACATGTGGATCCATCAATTCATATAAGCATCTATTCAGTGTTAGTACGAGGAAATCTGGTCTATAACTATATTTTGAAAAGGTCAAAAAAACATTTACTGGTTTTTTGGGGAGCAAAAGAATACAGAAATGTGCAAGTAAACTGATGGACCACTACCTTCATAGAAGTGATTTTCTGCAGATACATCAGATTTGACCACGACAGTAATGTAGAATAGTTCAACTAGGCTAGTGGCCGAAAAAAGAATGATGCCACCAACATGCTCGACAAAGGAACCGTGATGTTATCATCTAATAACCCCGTTATTGGAAGGGATTCTACTATTGTTGCAGCCATAGCAATAATCAACACTTTCTCAATTGTGGACCCCCAGTCCAGTTGAATGTATCCCAAATTCGAGAAGTAGAAGAGCATCCTGTAAGAGAACGCTTTCAACAATCAGTGAGACTCACATATATACTTGCAACTTTCTTATTAAGAGATTTTGAGTTTTTCACATGAGTTTGCAACTTTCTTGATAAGAATTTGTATGTTTTGACATTTATTTGCAACTTTTCATAGCAAAACTTTCAACAATAACTACATTTGCTAGGTCCAGTAGGTGAATGAAACATACCCCAAGGAAACAGAAAAACCAAATACAAACATACAGATGCTTCCAACCCAGCTTTTTTGCTTATTGAAAGGAAGCTTATGATTTCCGAACCTTCTACCCAAAACATCAGCAACTCCTGAACAAAACCACATTACTTGGTCAATAAACAAAATTGAGATTAGTCCTTGCATTCATCAGCAGTTTTAGAAATTACCATCTCCAGCGCACATCATGGCAAGGGAGATCACCCCAATGGGTGATTCACGCCAATAGAACAGAGTGCAATATATCAATGCCAACACATAATATAAAGGCCCTCGAAGCAGCTCTCTGCAAATTTACTTCACTCCTGAGCATGGTTTAAACACACACACACACACATACAAAGAGAGAGAGAGAGAGAGAGAGAGAGAGAGATTACTCAGGTCTACCGTCTCGAGTTACAGATTGTACCAAACCTTCATTGGTGACAATGGAAAGTCCATAGACCACAAGCCTGAGGGAATTTACAAGAGGAACTATAGCAGCAAAGTATCTTGCCTCCACAGAGGAACTACAAGAACCAAAGAGTAGTATAATGAGGTTTTCAAAGTTTGCTAAGGATATACCATACAATTTGGAAAGGGAAACAGATAATAGCCCCTCAAACCCTTTATTTAGTTTACTACAGCCTTATATTTGCTCAGACACTTATTAAAGGAAGAGAGAGAGAGAGAGGGAGAGAGAGAGAGAGAGAGAGAGAGGAGAGAGAGAGAGAGAGAGAGAGAGAGAGAGAGAGAGACAACAAGAAAGGCAGATAAAAGGAATGGTGAGAATAAGACCTGAAAATAGGCCAAGATGACAAAAACAGCAGCCCTGACAAGATATGCACCAATTTCCTGCTTAACTTCTGCACTCTTGATCATGATTCACAAATAAGAGTGGTGGTCTGTGTATTGAAAGAAGGTGTAAGGAAATTCAACAAACTACTGCATGTCTGTTCTGAAAACAGGTTTAAGGAAACTCGACAAGTACTGCGTATCTGTAAGGAAGTAAAGCCGTATTGCAACTTACAATAAGATATAAATTTTCTTATGCAGGTTTCAAGAAATGCACAATACAATACTAGATATGGCTGCCCTTTCAAAGTTTTCTATCTAAAAGTATGGGATACGCAGTACCAGATAAGGAATGAAAGAAGACCCTGCTTCAATGTATAACGAGAAAGCTTAAAACCGATATTTTATTATTTTCTTCTTTTAATCTTTCTCTTGTGTGTGTGAGTGCACGAGCATAATGTGCATTTGATAGTCATGACTGCAGCACAAGGGCTACTTGAGGAGGCTACAGCTCCTATAATTATTTAATGTTTCTATGAGAAGTGTCTAAACTTCCAGGCCTTTGTAGGTTACATTCTATTACAGATTGCAAATTACATGCAATTAAGGATGACAAACTACATCCCCAAGTATATCATCTTTTGACCGAAACTTCCAATTTCCACCTCTTACACAAAAGTTCACATTTAGCATAAGTCAGCACCTTGAATGATCCAATGATAGCAACCAGGCATCAAGACCCATCTCTTCTACTCTCCTCCAAAAACATAAATGCAATTTGTTTGGAATCGATTTACTAAACTTTCCCATTTGAAAAAAAAAACCCAACAACATTACAATTTGAAAGTAATTCATAGAAATAAAAATTTTTGAAAATCATAAGAAGCAATTTACATATTTCATCACACAACATATATCCATAAATTATGAATAAAACTACAGATCTAGCAGAAATCATTTGATCTCCACATAGTCACATCCAAAGGCCGGGATAAGAACCTTCTTGCCCTGAACATATCATCGATGACTTAAGTTTCACTTGAATCAAATCAGGGACCATTAAGAAGCCTTGTTTTATAATAACAGGGTAACTAAGACCATAGTTGCTCGGATCTCTCAAACTAGGCAGCGATTCCAAAATCTTACTTTGGCATTCTAGAAAAGTGATCTGCAAGGGATATCAATTTTTAAATTTTGGGATCTCAATCCTCACTGTTAGGAATCTCGATTCTCATAACAACCAAATAGATGATCTTTTTTATTTATAGCCAGCTAGCAATGCTAGCTATACATTTAATATAATTGCATTGTTTGCTGGCTATAAATAAGGAAATCCCAACTTAACGAGCATATATAGTCCTAGACTGTATACTCTTTAAGGTTGGGAGCAAGATCCCAAAAGGGTGGGATAGAGATCTCCAAAAGTTTAGGATCGAGATCCCTATCATTTGGAGGATCTTGATCCCGCATTGAACATTGTACTAACCATAAGGATCTTTTAGCCTTTAAAAAGTCAAAGACACAAGTATCCCATCTTCATAATAAACTGGAACCTGTACATCCCCAATATATGAGAAAGAAAATCTCCTCTCCCTCGTTGAGCATGTGCACCTCACTTCCTCATCTTATATTCTAAAGGAGAATGTAATCTCCCCCCCCCTAAATCCAAGTTACCTAAGAGAATTTATAATTTATTCAGCACAGTATAGAACAATCCAAAGTACCACTGTAAGACTGGGATCACTTCTTGATACAAATATTTTGAAGAAGGGGTCTTGGACCATTGTAACTAGAGGATGCCATCAATTCTAAACAAATTTGAAACTAGAAAACTCAAAAAGCATGAGTCAAACACTAAGAACATCTTCCTTTATATTCCATAACCAAAAGTTGGATCTAAGATATGCCATAGATATCATGTTGCACAGAAATCCATCTTAAAAACACCAAATTTTACAAAATCTAGGATAGAGATTACCATAGAAATATCATGTCTGATAGATGGATACCACTGATTGCATACAAAAAGCAATGTTGCCTTGAGATCTCTATGGTTTCCCTCCATATCTCTCCCTAACTTTCTCTCTCGGATTTCTCTATTTAATTAATTTACTATTTGATGTATTTTTCTTTGTTATTTTCTCAACAATAAAAAAACTCACACATATGAACGCCATTTCCGTATTGATTCAAGCATCCAGTTAACAAAGTTGAGTCCAAAAGACTTTACCAAAAATGAAAAGGAAAATTTTCGTATAGAACCCTAATTTCTCATATTATTTCATAGTAGACCCTCTTTCCGTTTTTCTTTCAAGCGGCATAAGGAAATCCTTAAAGATTTCACTATACCCCCTCATCTCTTATCTCCCTCTTTTATTGACTTTTGACCATAAAAATTAGCTCCAACAAATACTTTTATTACCTACTTTATTTCCTAAACGTTTAAGGTTTAGGTAAGTAGGTCGTATAAAACGTAATTAGTTGGGGT